TCCCAGGTGGCTTAATCGACTGAGCCACACAGGTGTCCCCTGGTAGGCACTTCTGACCAGCACATGTGTGAGTTTCCACACTGTGCTGACCTAATACCAACCAAAAGCAAAAATACTGCTGGCTGGCCTTTGTACAAGTTCATACATGGTTTCCAATGAGGGATAAAAAATATTGACAATAACTCATGCATGCATTCATTTCTATGCCCACCACCCATGAACCTAAGGTCCCAAGACCCCCCAGCCTGAGAACTAGTTCCCCTGAAATCATGATCCCAGACACTTTCGCTGAATTCTGACAATTGGCTGAGAGAGGACAGGCAAACAGGGTTGGGAGGAGAGGGCCAAAGGCCCAGGTGAATGTCAGCTGGCTTTGCCTGCTGTAGCAGAGACTTCGAGATGTCTGCCACGATCCGTTCCTTGGTCCAGGCATACAAGAGTGTTATGACTGAGAAGGCTGCATTTTCCTGCCCCTGCGGTAATCTGGCAAAATCCTCACCCTGGAATGGGAGTGGAAGGGCTGTGTGCAGTATCCAGGCCGGCAGCTTCAGATAGTGGGTGTGACCCTTCCACATCGGTACCGGACCCCGCACCACCCTGCTCAGGTCTCAGCCCTTGGCCAACTCCTTAACTCTGCTTGAGAGCTTTTCCTGGCACAGGAAGCATGCTTGGCTAGGGCAATTTGTAAGGCCCCCAGTGCCAGCACCCTCAACTAAATCCCCAGGGATGGGGAGTTAGTGGACAAATGGTTTCCTACCCTCTCAAGGGGGGTTACAATGAGGCACATATATACTATTTGCTAGAAATCCCCACTAGGATCAAGCTTCAGTTGTCACAGTAGGAACTTCCTTGATTATATTCCCTTTATTGGCTGTGTGCTCTCTCCTACCACATTTCCCCACTCCCACTACAGATGGTTCCTGACTTCAACTTGAACCCTTGCCTCAGAACCTGTGGAGAAACCCAGAGCAAGGTAATTCTCCTACCAGCCGAAATCCACACAGACCCAGTTTCAACCATGCGTATGTTAGAAGTGTCCTAGGGCATGGTAGAGCAACAAAGGAAGTCAGTCCAGGTCTCTCGGGGACCTGAGGGGTTCAGTTGGTTGAGCATCTGCCTCTTGATTTCTGCTTGGGTTGTGATCTCAGGGTCATGGGACTGAGCCGCACATCGGTCTCTGCACTGAGCCTGGAGTCCATTTGAGATTCTCTCCTTCTGCCTCTGCATCCCCCTCCAGCTTGCTCTTTCTCTCTCTGAAATAAGTAAATAAATAAAGCTTTTTTTTTTTTTAAAGATTTTATTTATTCATTTGACAGGCAGAGATCACAAGTAGGCAGAGAGGCAGGCAGAGAGAGAGAGGGAGGTGGAAGCAGGCTCCCTGCTGAACAGAGAGCCCGATGCGGGGCTCAATCTAAGGACCCTGGGACCAAGACCTGAGCTGAAGGCAGAGGCTTTAACCCACTGAGCCACCCAGGTGCCCCAGTAAATAAATAAAGCTTTTTAAAAAGATTTTATTTGGGACGCCTGGGTGGCTCAGTGGGTAAGGCCTCTGCCTTCGGCTCAGGTCATGATCTCAGGGTCCTGGGATCGAGCCCTGCATCCAGCTCTCTGCTCAGCAGGGGGCCTGCTTCCCCACCCCTGCCCCCCGCCGCCTTTCTCTCTACCTGCCTCTCTGCCTGCTTGTGATCTCTCTCTCTCTCTTGTCAAATAAATAAATAAATAAATAATCTTTAAAAAAATAAAAATATTTTATTTATTTATTTGAGAGACAGAGAGAGAGTGTGCAAGCACAAGTAGGGGGAGGGGCAGAGGGAGAGGGAGGAGCCCAATGCAGGACTCTCAGGACGCTGGGATCATGATCTGAGCTGAAGGCAGACGGTTAACTGACTGAGCTGCCCAGGCGCCCCAATAAATAAGTCTCTAAGAAAAAAAAAAGAAGTAGTCCAGGTCTCTGAGTGATGGCATAAGGACAGCCACCACCAACCCAGAACTGCTGGCAAGAAATTATCTTCTCTCTTCTTTAACCCACAGAATTTGGAGGGAATTTTGTTAGAGCAGCTGTGCCTTGTCCTAGCCAGGAAACCTGCCCAACACCCATTTCCTTTCTGGTCATGGCACCTACTTTTCTGTTCGGGAACCACTTTCCTACTCCCAGGCCAGTGACCTGTTCACACCACCCTGGCTTCAGGGGAGGCAGGAGCACACGGCTCAGGCCTGGGCCAACAAAGCCCCTTATATCTCAGAGCATAGCGACGGGATCAGGGATAGACCCAAGAGCCAAATCGGGCCACTCAGAGACAAGAAGCATCAGCCCAAAATCAGACCCTTTTTCTGCTGAGCTGCTGTACTATGGGACAGGAGTCCAGCAGTGGTGGCCACGAGGCCCCCACCTGAACCTGCCTGAGAAAGAAGTCACCTGTGGAAAAACCAGATATAAGACAGAGAGAAAGATGAGTGATACCATGATTTAAGCACCTAGATCCAGCCATCCCTGAAGCTGGAACAACCCTAGATTTGTCAGCCAATACATTCTCTTTTCTGTTAAAGCCATTTTATTATTTTTTTAAAGATTCTATTTTTTAAGTAATCTCTACACCCGATGTGGGCCTCAAACTCACAATCCTGATATCAAGAGTTGCATGTTCCACCAATGGAGCAAGCCAGGCGCTCCTGTTAAAGTCATTTTAAACTGAGTTTCTGGGGGCACCTGGGTGGCTCAGTGGGTTAAAGCCTCTGCCTTCGGCTCAGGTCATGATCCCAGTGTCCTGGGATCGAGCCCCGTATCGGGCTCTCTGCTCAGTGGGGAGCCTGCTTCCTCCTCTCTTTCTGCCTGCTTCTCTGCCTACTTGTGATCTTTGTCTGTCAAATAAATAAATAAAATCTTTAAAAAAATAAATAAATAAACTGAGTTTCTGTCACTAGCAACCAAAAGAGTTCGGTTTAATAAAAATCGGTCCCAGGGTGCCTGGCTGGCTCAATTAGGAGAGCATACAGCTCTTGATCTCAGGTCATGAGATCAAGCCCCATGTTGGGCATAGAGCTTACTTTTAAAAAACAAATTTAAAATATGTAAATAAATAAAAATCCATCCCTAAAGATAATATCTTTTCAGCTGGTTCACAGTTCCCTGCGCAAAACAGGACACAGGCCAGCTGCCCCAGACAGTCGTTTAGATATTCCCTTATCATTTTTGTTGTCAGAATTACCCAGATAACTGTGGAAAGCAAATCAAACACTTTCTAGACTCCCTTCCCTGTACCAAGTGCTAGGAGACACGACAGGATGTCAACAATTGGCCCCCTGCCCCCAGGGCGGAGCCCTCAGTGCTGCCATCCCAGGAGGCCGTAAGAGCCTTCACAACTTCCTACTTTGCTATTCCAGGTCCCAAATGCATCCCCAGTCACCGTGAACACTTGGACGTGGCCATGTAGACCACATGGTGCTGTGGTCTCAGCTCTCAGGTCTTCGTGCGAGGCCGAGCAGGACCACATCAACCCAGCAGTATGGCTCTGGGGCACTGAGTGTCGCCATTTAGAGAAACCAGAGGTGTGAGGATCTCCCAAAGCCTGCCCTAGCCTCATGCCTGCCTCTCCTTTAGTTCCAATTGAACTTGGTGGGGGGCGGGGGAGGTGGTTCTTTCCTTTCTTAAGTGTGGGGAGAGGGAAAGTGGGATTTTGACCGGGTTTAGGATTCCTGGCCCTTTCCTCCCACCACCAGCCGATGGCCCCTGCAGCTGCCTCATCTGCTCCTGGGCACTGGGACGCTGACCCCTTCAGGAGAGCTCTGAGGATTGTTCCAGAGAACGCTGCACAGCCAGGGGTGCCCCACATCATAGATGCTCCACAGAAGGGTTTATTCCCTCCCTTCAGAAAGGGGAGCCGACTCTCAAGACTGATGTTAACTCAAGTTAGAGGCCACGCCACGGAAACTGTCCAGATCTTGGCATGATGCCTGGCCCACGATGTGGGAAAGGAGGACATTGGGGGAGGGAGTGAAGCAGGCAGAGAGGTGGAAGGAGGAGGGAGAGGAAAGGAGACGAAGAAGGGCCATCACCCAAATGTTCCCCAGCCCAAGAAGCAGCCTGGTCCTGATGCAAGATCTTCTTCCTCTTCCGGGGAGGAAATGAAGCTGGGGCTGTCAGACCCAGGGCAACGGAGGAAGCCCGCCGAAGGACTGCGGGGTACAGGAGATGAGCACTCCGCTCAGTTCCCACAGCTCCCTGGACTGGGGAAAATCCCTTTCTCAGCCACCAGGGTTCCCTGAGGGTTTGGGCCCTTCCTGCTACCCCTCCAGTCATCAAAGGACCCTGGAAACTACCTCACCACCCCTCTCATCCCCAGAGGCTGCTGCCTCTCCTTTGCCCTATCTCGGTTTCAGGTCTGCTTTACTGTGAACGTCCTGGGCCTCTGGAGCCAGGCCTCCCAGGTGAGATGATCCAGGTGGCCAAAGGTCACAGTGCTCAGCAGTCACATGCTCTGAAGGAGACTGCTCTCCCTCCCACAAGAGCACAGCCTGCACCTGTAGCCAGCAAGTCAAGTCCCAGCCCCAGAAAGCCAGAAGCAGTTCTACAGTAACCCAGGGCCACGAAAAGTGACGAAAGCATTCAGGAGTGATCTTCCCCGTCCACCCCAGGCCTTTCTGCCCACCTACCTTGGGGCACCTGTCCATTGGCCCTCCTACCCTGTACTCAAGATCTGCTTCTTCAAACCCACCTGCCAATACAAAGTTATTCGCCCCAAACGACCTGAAATCGAAGGTCACACATTAGGCCCTAATCAGGGAGCTAGAACTCAATGCTCTGTTTTGTTTTATAATTTCACAAGAACATTTCATTTATTAAAATAATTCCTGTAAACTCTTTTGGAATAATAAAATCATTTTCCTTGCTTGAGGAGCATGGCAAGTGGAAGTACTTTTATTTCAAGGCACCATAAAATGAGAGTCTCTCTAAGAACACCTCGGCCTCCACATGTGAAAATCCTTAAAAAAAAAAAAAAAAAAAAGGAGAGAGAAAGAAAGAAAAATGCCTTACAGTGATCATGACCATCCACAAACTTTTGTTAATGTGACTGTCAACAGGATGTGGTTTACAGGGGGCCTGACACCACGATTCTCACTGATGACCCTTAGAACAGATCCCCCAGCTCCACCTCCGGCCCCGGAAGGGCAAGAGGGATGAACTGAACCCAAGTGGGGTTGGGGAAACCTTCAAGACCCCAAATCCCTGTAAACGCGGCAGCTCTGGCTTCTTCCTCCTCCTCACTTCTCCTCCTCCTCGCTCAGGTTGGCATTCCCTGGGCGCATGGACATCAGCTTGGTTTGCAAAAGAGCCGCTAGTTTTTTGGACGTCTTTTTGAGAAAGGCGCTGCCTGGGTGGGCACTGTTCACGTGCAGGTACAGGTCCTCCTGGGTGGGGCCCGTGTAGCCACAATCCTCGCAGACGTAGAGCTTGTCCCGGCGTTGCTTGTAGGCATACTGCTGCTGCACCCCGTGGATCTTCTTCAGGTGGGACTCCAAGGAGCAGCGCTGGGTGAAGGCCTTGTTGCAGATGTCACATTTGTAGGGGCGAATGCCTGCAAGGTCGATGGGCAGACATATCACCAGTGGGGTCACGGTCACGCCAGAGCCTCCCAACCATGAAGCCATTTAAAAACATCATGCACAACCCAACAGCAGAAAACCAAACCTCCTGATTCAAAACCAGGCAGAGGAACCGAACAGATCTTTTTCCAAAGAAGGCACGCAAAGAGCCACCAGGTACGTGACAAAGTGCTCCACGCAGTTGGTCGTCAGGAGAACATGAATCACGGCTGCAATGAAATATCACCTCCCACCTGTTAGGATGATTATCATCAAAGACAAGAGATAGCAAGGGTCCTTGAGGATGTGGAGAAAAGGGAGCCCTAGTGCACTGCTGGTGCAAATGTAAACTGATACAGCCATTATGGAAACCAGTATGGAGGTTTCCCCAAAAAACAAAAATTAGCACTACCATGTGACCCAGAAATCTCTCATCTAGGATCTATTTCCAAAGGAAATGAAAAGAGGATCTCAAAGACACATCGGGACATCCATATTCACTGCAGCATTTTTAACAACAGCCAAGACATCCAAATAACGTAAGTGTCCATCAGCGAATGCATGAATAAAAAAGATGTGGCATATTTATACAAGGGAGTATTATTCAGCCACGAGAAAGAAGGAACTCCTGCTATTTGCAATATCGTGGATGAACCTCACGGTATTATGTGAAATAAACCAAACAGAGAAAGGCCAATACTGCGTGGTACCACCTGTGTGTGTATAAAAGTCAAACCCATAGGAACAGAATGTGGATAAATGGTCGCCAGAAGCTGAGGGCCGGGAAAAAAAATCAACCTGACCAGCGACTCAACACGAGGAAAAAGATTCCCAAGGGTTCCCAACATCCACGTGAGCAAAGATAAAAAGAGATGCCAACTTAGCAAAGAAACACCACCTGGCTTTGGGAGGAAAGGTTTTTGGTTTTCCCACTTGTATGCCTCAATGTTTTGATTTTATAGTGGGCAAAGTAAACCTTGTTTTTATTTTACTTGTGGTTTTCCTGGAAACAGACCCTGTAAAAAAGATTCCAGTCTGTGAGTGAAGAAAGAAGTGAGGCGGCGAGAGGAAGGAGCCCTACAAGGTGGGGACAGCAAGGTAGTCACTGCTGTGAGCGACCAGAGTCCAGTTCCACTGGACAAGGTGAAGGGACAAGGTAGAACACTCACCTCTGAGTCATGTCGCCCCTCACAGCTATGGTCTCCACCACCTACTGCCCCCCACCCCCGCCCCCACCCCCTCCAGCAGCCTGTCAGGGGCTGTCCCTGGGGGGTGCCGATTTTCCCTCCCTGTCTGGTGCCAGCAAGAACGCTCTCAGACAGAGTAGCAGGTGTGGGCAGTTGCAACAGGGATGTGTGTGCCCAGAAATGGCAGGAGCCAGGGGCGTGGGCTGGACACGGGTAGCATTTGCCACAGTTATGAAAGCATTTCCAAACCAGATCTCTCACTGGCCTTTAAATTGGGCTAATATCAGTGGGGCTTGCTTTCTAGATGGAGAGTTCCCACGTGCCATCTCCACCAGGGATCATCTTAGAGCCCAGAGGCCAGCAGAGCCATCCCTTACAGGAATCCCCAAAGCCTCCGATGCAGAATTTAAGGGCATGCCAAAAACTCATCAATCCAGTGAGATAATATTTCAAAAATTGAAACACATTTAAAAAAAATCCATAGGAACGAGTTATCAAAAATCTTAAACAAGGACAAGACCCAACAACACCATCCTCGAGCTTGAGGCGAAAGGAAAAACACGCACTCTATGTAGATGTTTTCATGTATTTTTTAAATGGTTATTCCTTTCCCCCATAAAGTTCTAGCTGTTGAAAAAACATACTGCACAACTGAAAAGTAGCTGAATTAAAACTCACACTTAAAAATGTTTCAATATATTTTTTTAAAACACGAAAATGGAATTTATGATGATTTTACTATCCTGGCTTTAATGGAAGCAAACTTATCCAAAGATATTTTCAAAATCTACTTTTTTAGCTTCACAATGCTCTGGAGGATTTCTCCATGTTGGTTCCTATAGCTCAGTTTCATTCCTTTTCAACAGCACCGTGGTGTTTTGTCAGACGGCTATACCCAAATGCCATCTCTCACAAACCAGAGATAGACTGACTGCCTTGTAACAACCGGGTCCTTGCCTTTGCTCCTGGGGCCAACAGTCACACTGCATCCCCTGGGAGCTTCTGGCCATGCAGAGTCACAGCTCCCCCACCCCTCAGACTGAATCGAATGTGGAGCCATGGTCCTCAAACCCAAGGGGCTCATCAGAACACAGACTCTTGGCCCCAGCCCTGGTGTTTCTTGTTCTGGGGTAGGGCTGAGACTCCCGTGTTTCTAGCGAGTTCCCAGGTGATGGTAAGGCTGCTTGTCCGGGGATCTCTTTGGGAGTCACATGTCTAACTCCACGCCAAATGAAGCATGACCAAAACTGAAGCAGGAAGAAACGAACATTCGAAGAGACCCATGACCAGCAAGGAGATTGAATCAGTAACCAAAAAAACTCCCAACAAACAAAGTCCAGGACCAAGCGGCTTCATGGACAAATTCTACCAAAAGAGGCATGAGGATGGTACTTCGGGGTCTGAAAGGAGCCCTGGCCTCAGTATTTTCTCTCCCAGGTTACATGTCCCCATTTTCTTAATGGCAGATGATAAGGGAAGTTGAAATGGAAAAAAACTATTTCCCCCCACCTCCATCCAACCACCCGAAGGGTTTGGAAACCGAACCCCTTCCACTTTTCATCCAGTCCATGTCCAGGAGCACATATGTGAAGCATATCCTGTAACACGCATGTGAAAAAGGTGTATTGGGTCAATGCAATTCTATTCAGGCAGAGTGCAGGTCGATCTTACATTCCACACATTCTAGAACAACTGCCAGAAGTTTAGAAACTCCTTTCTAATCCTCGGCACTGGGCAGGCACATAATAGGTGCTCAGTAAATAATTTTTAAATGAAGGAATTAATGAATGAACCCCCACTGGCCCAGAGAAAGAGATTTAAGAAACAAAGAGATTTAAGAAACTGGCAAATTTAAGTGGGGTGCCTGGGTGGCTCAGTCAGTCATCTACCTTTGCCTCAGGTCATGATCCCAGGGTCCTGGGACGGAGTCCTACATCAGGATCCCTGCTCAGTGGGGAGCCTGCTTCTTCCTCTCCCTGTTGCTCCCCCCGCTTATACTCTCTGTCAAATAAATAAATAAAGTCTTTTTTTTTTTTTTAAGATTTTATTTATTGGAGAGAGCAAGACAGAGATAGTGAGAGAGGGAGGAGAGGGAGAAGCAGGCTACCTGCTGCGCAGGGAGTCCTATGTGGGTGGGACTGGATCCCTGGACTCCGGGATCATGACTGGAACCAAAGGCAGACGCTTAATCAACTGAGCCACCCAGGTGCCCCAATAAAATCTTTTTTTTTTTTTAAAAGAAATTCACCCAGAGACCAGTTACTCCTTTCAATAGTTATTGGAAATAACCCACTACTGTTTTAAAACATCCAAACTAAACACGTGGAGAGAACAGTACACTTCCCCCACATGAGCTCCTAGGCCCCCCAGGAAAGGATGTTTCAATCCTGCTCTAGGAAGCCCATCCCCTTCTGTGACCTAGAAAGGTGATCCGAAGTGGCTGCTGACCAGGGCTTTGCCAGATCCCTATCCCCTGGCAGAGGTAAGCGTGCTGGGAGCACATTTCCTTCTGCATCCAGCAGGTCGGCCGAGCCCCTTCCACAGACAGAACCCCCAACAAGGCCCAGGGCAGCAAAGGCTAGAGATCCCAGAGCCCTGCATCATCCAGATGACAGAGAGAATAGGGATGACCGCTGCAGGTGGGCTTTTCCCAGGGACGGTGGGATGTGAGCCGGGCTCAGAGGACAAGGGACTCACAGACACCAAGATGGACGTTAGACGGCAAGCACCAAAAACTGCAGTTAGGGCAATTCTGACTTTTGCACACCTGCTTCAATTCCCCTCTCTGGAAATACCACATTCATCCGTCACTCACTGATGCAAGCAGACACGGTCATGCAGCAGCCCCCGGGTGACCCTTTCTGGGCTTGGGAACAAAGCCCTTCTTCCCAGAATCCCCAGCCCGCCATAAACTCAGGGGTGGGTGGGAGATGAAGGTGGGCAGAGAGGACACCTGGGCAAAGGGGACTGATGCCAAGGCCTCCCCAACTCTGGGGACTTACCCACCTTAGTGCCCTGGAGCCAAGGCCAACCTTGGCCCTGTCTGGAGTGGGATACCGGAACTCGAAACCACAGCTGTACCAGACATCATTAACCTACTGACACCACCCAGCGAGAGTCCCAGGCCTCTGAAAACCCACGCATCACACATCTGCCACTCATCACGTGAGCCCACGATGGATGGCTGAGCCCCTCCAGACCTCAGTTTCTTCACCCATAAAATGGGGATAACATTCATACCCCCTTGTTAGGCCACTCAGAGGATTAATGGCAACATCACCTGCAAAGGGCCCAGCACATTATTACGTACTCAGTGGGATACAGCCCTGAGAGTTTACAGTCCAGCTCAACAGAACAAGGGTATGCTCTCCTCCTAAACTGGCTGGCGGGTACATATGTAGTATGTATTTACATTGGCTCAACATAGACACTTCACACGCACTTTGGGATGTGTTGTTTATTTCCCAGTGCGGAAAGAAAAGGATAATTGTTTTCAATATGGTCATGAGGGTCTGGTGGAGAGAAGAGTGGAGAGACCTCCATTTTGTTGGTAACCCTCTGGAATGTTGTGCCAAACGGCCTCTCTGACCTTATGCAAAAAAACACTGCATTGGGTCATCCAAAAGGGTTTCTTCTCTTCAAATTTTCTATTCCTATTACCAAAATCAAGCTTTGCATTACACATCTCCAAAGAAAATTCTTGGCTACAGGTACTTTCTGCTTGCTCTCCTTGCCACAGCCTGGTGCTCCCTTGCTGAACTTGTACAATCATGAACTTCGGTAAGAAGCTTTTTACAGTCCTCCTT